CATTAGCTATTAGTAACGATCGTTTATTCCTAATTTTGTGAAACTTTAAAACGCTCGATATTCATATGTTTAAACGAGAGTTTCAAAATTTTTAAGCATAATAGATTACGTAGAACGAATAAAGTCCATAAAATTAGTTACGTGTTTAAGTTACTTTATTTCGCCTACCATATTTAAGCAAATAAAGATGATTAGATTTGTTATATTCGCCCTTCGTGGTACAATTAGTGATTTGTATTTAATTACGAAAAAATGGAGCCGATTCCTTAATGTTACAACTGACGAAAAGTGTGTCAAAATTGTATAAATATCCATTAAGCTTATTTATAACTTTCCATTTTCTTATGGCGAACGTTCAGTGAGGTGAATAATGAGTATATAACAAGTAAATAAAAAAAACCAGGTACCGTTAAAAAAGAAGTCAGGTCCAAATAACACATGATCATTTCAATCTCCTTGTGGTTGGTAGAGATCTGATCAACTGATTTTTTTTATCAGAAAAATAGGATTCGTTTATAAACACCCAACTCAGATTGGATCGTACCTTTAGGTCACGACTATCCTGCAAAAAATGTCACTAAACTTTTTTTTTAATTAATTAACTTAATATAATAAATAATTAATATATCACATGTAACTACACAGTTCACATGTAACACTATTATTATTTAATATTTTTAAAAACAATGCATTCTATCTTTGTCAATATGATCAACTTCTTTTAAGAGATACGGTATATTTGTTACCTCAATTTTGGCAGTTAATTGCTATTATTAAAAGATTCTTCAGCCGTATCAAGTGTTATGAGTTCTTTTGTAATAAATGAGACTTCTAAAGTTCACGTAAAAACTGTTTATTTAGTTTACAAGCACAATAAACAATTACGTGTCACTTTATACACCACCAAGTGAATTAACTATATATACGAAATTGCCCTTTAGACTAACGAGTTCATTATACAAGAAAGTGACATGTTGTATTTTGTATGCGCGTTCAAGGTCAACAGTTTTCATTTCATATTTGGATGTTACATTTAAAGTTACAATAATATTAAACATTAGCTTAATTAAAATAAACAATACCAGTTGAAAATTTTTTTTATTATCACTTAAGCAATTATATAGTTTGACCAAATTTTTTACTGCCTTATTTACTTATCTACTATCAGTTCGGGTGACCTTCAGGCATCTCTTGGGTGGTTTGATGGTATGTAAATTTTATAGTCATCGTTTTGTTTCCAATCGTTGATCGGAGATTAATCGAAACAACTAATGGATCGCTGTCGGCAGTGTCACGACTTCCAGATGCTTTCTCCACCATTTCTCACCCCATTTGTCGCTGCTCGGCGCTGTAGAGAGCATGTATTGTTAATTCTAGTTTGCATTCCGTTTACAAATGATCTATGATACAAGTGTCACAAAAGTTATTTGTTTTTTTATATTTTTAAATGAGAGTTTTGTTATAGGACGTGACGTGACAGTTTTGTATTGTTCTCCTAAAAGTAAGAGTGACGATTCACACGAATACCTGTCCGTCTGTTTAGAATGAGTGAGTGAATGAATGATTATAATTCATTCTATACTTACACAAGAAAAAAAAATACCAAGAACAAAACTTATTCTTTAGCAATTCATAGACGGCGTTAATACTAGAGCAATTTCTTCCATGGAACCATAATTTTTATTACGTACCCTTGCATCCTGCATATTCATATTGTACATTTTTGTAGAGAAATGAACAAAGTTTTTGGCGCTAAGGGAATCCAAACTTGGTTTTTGGATATTGTTAAATTTAGGATCGCATGTATATAGATGTCGATACGGAAATAACATTTAATTTTGTTGACTGTCACATGTAAAATGAATATGATTTTACTATGTTGATATCGCTTGTGCTGACCAAGGGTTTTTTTTAATTTTCCAAAAGATTATTTACGATGTTAACATCACAATAGGCACCTTTTTACGTTAAAAATAAAAAAGTGCATTCGTTTTTGTTGCCGTTGTTGTCTATATTTATCTCTAGAAATATCTTATCCTTGTATCTGTTTAATCGGGTGAAGTTTAAGGGTGTCATTGACCCTAAAAGTTTTCGACGGAATGGGTTAGTTCTTCATGGATCACATTTTTCCGTAATGGAAGCGTCTAGACGCAGTCTGGGTATACTTTAAGTTTTAGTTTGCTTTTAATGTATTAATTATGCTTTCGTGTCACTCAACCCCGTTTTTCATTATGATAAAGGGATAAAAGGTAGTTTTATTAAGGTTAAGTTCCAAAACTTTATTGTAGATATTTCGGCCTGCAAATGTTGCTGTAATGTAAATATTCTAATTTATGGACGATTACGATTTCAAATAACATTTAATCTGATTGACTTCGTCTAATTTATACAGAAATTAACAATGGGTTTGCCCCTTGTGACAATTAATGCTGCTACGTTTAATCAAATCAATAATTAAACTTATTAACTAAGTATTGTTTCGAAATTCATTATTTTTATACAATTAAATATACAACGGATATGCAGTGCACTTCGCCATTGAGTACAAGTGTAAAGGTTGAAAAATAAAGAAGAAACTATTTTCATCACATTTTAAAATTGACTTTATACATCGTACTCTTAAAAAATAAACAAATTATTTCGGTTATTAGGATCGGCAGCCGTATGTGAATCTTATACTCGTCGGTGTATTTTACAAAAACGACTATCTTCTAGCGCCCAATTTCAACAATCGTAAAATATAACAATTGTTCACACTGGAGCATGTAGAAATGTGATTAAACTTGGAAACACTTTCACTGCGCTATGACCTTTGTCCGCAAGCCCATCGTTTAAATACTACTCTCGCTTTCCAGTTCTTCGTAAGCGTCCTCAATTGCCTCAATGATTATTATAATGTAGTACGTATATGTAAAAATATTTCTAATTACATTTCCTCATTTTATTTAAATTAGTTGTTGTTTAAATTAGTTTTATTCAAACTTTCCCGATAAGTGTATAATTATTTTATTAGAAACCAAGAACTGATTTTAGTCTAAAAATACAGATAAACATTTTTGTATAACGTTTGTTCTCCAAATTTACTCTGTGCTTTTTCCTCAACTAGGTACTTACATTTCAAGTACTTTCGTACAATGAGGAAAATATTGTTAAATGAAAGTATAATATTTAGAGTAAGGTTTTCAACATCCTTTTTTTGACTCACAGCTTTATAGTAGTATACTATATAGTACAAGGTAAGACTTTTTAAATACCTTTGTTTAAAAATAAATTTATGTTCAGTTGCAAGTTTAGTGTCATAAATCTCTTATTACTTGTGATTCTGTTGTACTGTATATATTGCTTATTTAAAGTAAGTAGGTACTTTATATACTTTTATATATATATACAAGAAAAATTATAAATATTGCGATAGTACCACACTAAAGTGTAATACAATTACAATATAAAATCACTTAAAAATAGCTTGGATTGCCTCACAGTTATTTCTTTGTACGTTATAGGATTACAAAGCAAACTTATTTAGTTGCATCCTTTACGTGATACACTTTGGCAACGATAGCCAATCCTTAAGTTATGTAACGAGAAAATTGTTTAGTTGCATTTGGCATTAAATAATGCCGCAGAAAGACGTGACCGAGGTCGCAAATAGTATATAATGCCAATTTTTACTTTCATCGTGTGAAATTTTGTATGTGTAGACACATACGAAATTTCGATTGATGATTTCGAAATTCGCATTCCATACGAGTGTTGAATTGATTCTATTCTGATGCGTCCGTGGTTTAGTTTTAAACGCAGTAAAGTTACATATTACCTTCTTCTGCCAACAATGTTGCATCATCAGCTTGAACGCAATCGTCTCGATTAAGAATTCTAAGATTATATTATTATGCTGTCTTCGTATTTGGTATGTCGATGTACTACATCCTAAGTTAGTTTTTAAGCGACTTCTCTTTGTATGATATACTTTCTGTTTATCAAAATCAGATTTTGCTATTGAAATCTAAAAAAAGTAAAATATCAGCCTATACATTTCCTACTGCTGGGCAACGGCCTCCTTTGTACAGAGGGTATCAGGGCATAGTCCACCACGAGGCCCCATTGCTAATTGGCGGACTTCACATATCTTCGAAATATTTTTTTTGTTATTATTTAGAAAATATGCAGGTTTCCTCACGATGTTTTCCTTTACCGCTGAGCACGTGATAAATCGACACTTAAAATTAACAATTTCATAAGTGCCGGCACCGGGGATCGAAGTCAGGTTGCTCGAGTATATTGAATTAAAGGCGAGCGCCCGGACACTGAGCTATTACGGCTCTTGAAATCCAGTATTATTATCAAATAATCAATATTATGGAAGACTAATAATTTCAATTATAACCGATAAGCACTTGTAATTAACTGTCCAGGCGTTTGCTTATATTATAATTTAACCAGCATATTATTTAGAAAATGTTTAATATAATGTTAGGTGTGTGAAATTTGCTAATCTACAGAGACTAATACCGGATGCAATAGTGGCCTATGACCCTACCATAGCAGAAAACTTTGCCCAGCAGAGGGTGTTAAATGTATTGATGATTATTAGTCTACCTAACATATGGGTTGTTTATACAATATTCATGAACATCTCAACTATTTTATAAATTATAGTCTTAAGAAGAATGAGCGTGTGTCACGCCAATGATAAGACGGCTATAGCGTTAACAATTTAAATTCTACTCCAAAAAATCACACCTTCCGATTACGATGACGAGCTTTTATGAGAAAAGAGAAATGTGCAAAGAATAGCATAACGTGGGAAATAGTTACAATAGCTTGGATATGTCACGATGAGTGTTTCACTGTATTTTCTAATTACAAAATGAATTCTAGCTCTTGGCACTCTACTTAATCGCTAAGTTTTTATCGATTTCATTATATGTTCAATAGAAGAAAAAAACGAAAAGGAATGTTATATGAAAATATTTAAGAGGTTCTTGTCTTCGTTTCAGATATTCCCGGTCGTGCTGATTGTTACATTTGCGAAATGTAATGGGCAATCGATTCCAGGCTACAACTATGTGAACGGTGCAACGCAATTTGGAGATCTATTGAAGCCACCACCTCCTCCGTTACCAATCGCCCCTGTGCCATTCCATGGAGGCAAACCACAGCGCCAAACCATGAACCGTGACTCGGGCTACCATTATCAAACTGTTACTACAACATCAATCACACCTGTTCACTCCTCATCTGACTTTAAGTTTCCCGCCCCGTTTTACAAACAGTATAACTTTAATTTTGTCCCTGCTCCTCAACCCTTTGCTACTACACCTTCCCCTTCCATTTTTCAAAAATTTTCGGGCTGGCTTTTCCCGTCTGCACAAACTTCTACTGGAGTACAAAAACTAAAAATTGAACCATTTAAGAAAGATTGCAATCCTTGCAATTTAGTGCCATGGATTCCCGTGATAAAATATAACTTAGGAGAAAAAAATGGAGAACAAGGTCAAAACCCAACCTATGGTCCTCCAAGTCCTACTGCTTTACCTCAGAATGTGCTTCAGTATCATCCTCAACAACCAATTTTGAATCAGAATCAAAAGCCGAAACATATAGCATATGATTCATCACCCGTCACCTATGGAAGGCAAGAACAATTTCCTCAAGCAGTAATTTTTGAAAATCCAAGTTCAACATATGGACCTCCAAGTGTAACCCAACAAACGTCATTCACCTCACATAATCCATCAAGTTCACCATATGCTTTACCAAGCTCCTCAAATGGATTACTTGATTCGTCAATAACACAACTTAGTAACTCATACGGGTTACCAGCTTCGTCATACAGTGTTTCCACTTCAACATATCGACCTTCTTCTTATGTAACCCCGGTAGTACCTGTTGATATAAGTTACCAGGTATCGACAATTTCTCCTCATGTTTTGAGTTATACTGCTGAAGTTGTGTCAGATCATTCTACTGTAGAGACGGATTCTAATACTTTGAATATTGTTACACCGGCGGGAAATCTACAACTACCAAAAGTAACGCATCCAATTGGTTTCAAAAATTCTTACGGTGAAGATATCACTAATTCCCATTTGTTAGATATTCCATATTCTTTAACATCACTCGGGGCTGAGTCAAGTAAAATAAAGACACAAGTAGCACCTCATAACATTTTTAAATCTTATGAACCCAATATTTCCGTAGCTTTGGCAAATCCTGCTCCATTCACTTTAAATAAAGGAAGAAATATTCACACTTTGCAACCAGTTGCCCTACCAAATTTAAGTGTTTCACCTCTACCCCCCATTTTTAATGCTCGGCCTTTTCGTCCCATTGTATCGACGACATATCCCACTAGTTTAATACATGGAATTAATTATATGCAAAAATCTTCAAATAATGTCAATGTAGAAAAAAGTGTTCCAATCGCAGAATTTGTTCACTCCGTCGAATATCCTACAACAATTATCCAGTCGCCAATAATCGATATTGATGCAACCAAAACTTCTAATCATAATAAAGCATATAGAGACATACTCAATAGTTATACAACAGATGAGGCTCATGATATATCTCCACAAGCCTCAGAAGATCATATTTCAGCAGCAAAAGTAAATCAGGATGTAAGTTTTGAAACAACTGGTGCTGACTTTAGCAATAATTTATACGACCCCAATTTACCAACAGATATACGAAACAATGTTTACGTGCCACCAAATCATAGACCAGAGTTTGCTGATTTAAGAGGAATAAAAGATGAAGACGTAGATAGATATCGTACTGAAAGTAATCTTCAAAGTATTGATTCACCGCTTTTATATTTAAAACCAAGTGCACCGCATAAAAACTTCGAAAGTTTTGTATTATCTTCGTCTATACCTGAAAGTCAGAAAGAATATGAAATTTATGATGAAGTTTCTACAACACCCGTGCCTACACAACCTACAAGTACCCCTAATTCATGGAATGTAAGTAATGCATTCGACAAAGATTCATTGTCATCATCATATGGACGAGAAAATCAACCGAAAGTCGTGCAAATCATTGTCCCTTACATAAAAGAACAAAATGAGAAAGGTAAAAATAAAGAACTACGATCGGTTTCACACGAAGAACACCAAGGTCGAAAAGTACCCTTCAATACTGAGATAGCATATTTCTATAATGATACGGAAACATCAACAAATCCGAGCACAACGACGGAGTATCTATCCACCGTAACAGAAAATTATGATTCAGCATTAATGAATTCACCTATGGACTTGAGAGATTTGTATGATGTGAAAGAGCCACCGTTTGACATTATAAAATTACAACATACTATTGACGATTGGACAGAGCAAGAATATTCCAATCACTATACAACACCAGATAGGACCCGAACAAACGAAAAATATGCAAAACAAATACCTGAAGATTACTTCACTACAATAAATCCAAATATTCAACAATCCACTGAAGCGAATGATTATAATTACGACGATTTCGATCACGAAGGATCCAGTAGCGTGCAACATTCTGTAACCGATATTAAAAACAGTTCGTTATCTAAATCAATTAATGAATATAATATGATAGATAGAAGTAAAAGTGAACATTTGTTTGAAAAGGGTCAAGAGGATCCTGATGAAAATCAAAAATTGCGTATTTACACAGCGGCATCTTCCTTCCGAAGTACAACTACAACGCCTGCGCCATGGGGGTCTATACAAACGTCAATATCCCCTCTTACCAAGGAAAAGGTGTATGTAGTAACATCAAAGCCCTGGCGCGATAAAGCTGACACCACAACAGAATTCAAATATGCATTAGATAAGTTTACAAAAAAAACTGATAGTAGTAATGACGCTGAAAAAATTGCGGATGATTTTCTTTTCAGCTCGCCTAGATTTTCTAGCCGCCCACCTTTCGGATTTACATCATCCGGTCCTGTTTCTTTGGACTCAATAAAATCTGATTCTTCGTATGGCTTTTCGAAAGGCTGGCATCAAAGTAGTAAGAATTATTGTAGTTCTTCTCTTTCTTTCTATAATTTAGAATACGTAACTAATTCATTATTAATGTTCTTTCAGTAAACAATTTGCGCAGCCTTTACCAAAGCGATAGCACACTTCTGTCTGAAGGTCCTGAAGAAAGAATTTACTGACGAAGACGAGGTTTTTATCATAATGTATATTGTACATTTAAGAAAAAATAATTATAATAAGAATAATGATGTTCACATATATTTTTTTTTACATTTGTGTATTAGTAAAATGTTTAAGGCTTTTCTCATACATTACGTCTTATATCGGTTCTATAAATTGATGAAATAGAATTATTACCAAATCATGTATTTATTATTCAACACAATAATGTAACTTAATTGTAACGTTTTTTGAACCTTAGGAAACGATCGTTAAATGATCAGGCGTATATTAAATAAATATAAATAATAATAAAAATGTATCTCTTACAGTGCTCTATTAACTTTTAAATTATTTCAGGACGTTCGACGTAAAAATTGAAAAGATATGCGCAGTCCGGAAATAATGACGCAAAACAAGTCACAAATGAAGCCAAAATGTTTAAGTGTATGTGTTGTAATTGACTTGTAAAACACTTGTAGTGTGAGTGACTGGAATAGTGAGAAAGTTATATTAAACATTACGTAGTACCTAGTTAGTCGCAGAATTCAAAAGACGGAACAAATTAAGGAGAACTCGAACTCTACGTGTTCTCTTTTATTTGATCCATAGGAGATACTAGAAAACATTGAAAAAGTATTTTGACGTGAATACAGTTAAAAGTTATGTACTTAAATAAAGGTTTTCGAAAAGTTTTCGGTTAACGTTGCAATTTGGTATCCAAAGCGTGATTAACCAGTGGATTTTCGAATGAAGTTCTTATAAAATAACGTTTGTAAATATATAAAATTAATACTATATCATTTGTAAATAAAAATATACCAATAATAACTTTTTTATTTACATTAAATTTAAGTTATAATTTACAAATCTAATATTATAGAAATTAAATTAAAATCATTGCAATATGTACAAGCAACATACCCGTATGTTTAGACTTACATAATTAGGCAGGTATACTTTCTTTCGCGTCTGCTTTTTTTAATTTGAAATATAAAAATTCGATGCTCCATGACAGGATGGTCAATAATGTAACCAAGTTTAGTATGACGATTGGCAATCTGTATGAACCTGACGCTTCTCGTATCCGACCTGAAAAAAGTTTTATTTACATAGTGAGTAATGAACATAGTAACTTTACTAAATAGTACGTAATGAAACTTTTCCCTTATTTTTATGTATATTTAAAAACTATGCGCTGCTGAAAACTGTAACGTAATTAATGTATGTACTTAGATTTTTACATAAAATAAGAGCGATATTCTTGCTCGGTTTGTGCAATATGAAAGAAAGACAATTTCCTAGGTTCATGGGTTTATGAGAAAAAATATAAATCTCTATGTAATAACAGGGTAAGCGTATAAAGCTTTTAATGTTATATGTCTTTCTTCCTACTGTTTAATTGTATGCGCTCCTAGCATTCAATATTACTATTTAGTAGTATGAGATTTTAGTGCAATGGTGTTGGCGTATGCCGTGTCTATAGATACTCGTAAAATAACATTGCTAGTAATGGTTGTATGTTAGTACTTTACATCATTTCAAATTTAGACATTTATGAAATTTGTCGTTTTATAATAAAAAAAAACACTTTGAGAAATGGCATGTAAGGTTAGTGATTATGTATTAAAATTATACACAATCACTAGCCTTACAACTAAATATTATCATCGGCGAAATTATTATTCTATTTTACAAGGTTCAATTTTGCTATCTAACGCTATCTCAAATTTGAGGTAATTAACTAATAAAGCGTTTGGAATCAGGAGGATTAAAAAGTACGTGAAAGAAAAAGTCGATAATGATATTTGATTATTTGGAACAATAAATTTACCTAACAACGATCCAATCGTTATAATGACGATTCCGTTGAAGAACATCTGAATCCCTGACGCGAATGGCAGCCTTTCCAGGGGCACGTAGCTGGGTATCACGATGTTCATGTACACAGTTCTGACTCCTTTTGTGACACCAATCGCCAAGGCAACGAACAGCATACCAGTGAATGATGTAGTGAAGAGCATTACTGAAATTGTGATATAGAAAAATGTATAGGTGCAATTGTTTCGTGTGTAGAACATGCTGACTGGATAACTTGTGATGCATAACGATTTTAATTATTTTCGGCATATCTTGTACTAGAACGAAAATTAAGTTCGAAAGAAATTAACAAATAGAACGTCAATATATTAATTAATAAGTAATTATGTTTAGGGAATATCTAAATAAATAGCTGTCTTTTTTCATGATGATTAAAAATTAAACCTAAAAATAACTAATAAAAAAATTATTGTTGAGTTTTTCAAGACCCCCCAACATGTGTTATTACTCTCGTCTTGTTGGTCATTACGATAACATTTTATTCCGTTAATTATTGACTTACAATAATTGTTCAATTTCTCAGTAATCGTCTAGTTCCCCACCTATACGAAAAAATGGGTTCTAAACTACCATATTCTATTTCAGAGTTTAAGTTTTAAGTTTTGCCACAAAAGAAATTAGATTCAGCTGTCTAATTTCTTTTGTGGCAAAATTTTTTTTTGTGTTGATTATCAAAATGCAGATTTCTTAAATAAATTTGTTTATGTTAAAACAATTTTGTTACTTATTTTAATTTTTATCTTTTTTGTTAATTTAAATTGCATTTAATATTGTTTATGAAATGCATAATTTTAATAAATGAGTTAATATTACTGGATGAAAAACGGACTAAACTAATAACTGACTGGTAAATTCAATTAAAAATTACCTAAGACTGCTGTATCAAAATTGAATTGACAGTTTTATCTAAAAAAAATTAAATTCAAACAATGGTACGTCTATCTAAATGTTAAAATAAATAGTGAAATAGTTAAAATTAACATATTGATCGCCAACTAAGTAAAGGAATTTTAATATCGCAATCGAAGAACAATGTAATCGGGTTCCATATTTAAAATTGAATTGATAAATTTATGTTATATCAATTCAATTTTAAATAAAATGAAAATTGAATTGATAAATTTATAATAAGCCCAGGTGGAGGCAATTCTTTTCAGGAACATGATAGATAACACAAATTACAGAGAGATCCGCACATTAAAATATATTATCGGTTATTATTCAGCTTGCACTATGATAAGATAAGTATTATTTTACGATAACTGTCACTAATTTTTTACTTTTTATTGCGAAATTTTTTTGTATTCGTAATGACAAATAAGTACAAAATAATGTTTTTATTAATCAGATATATAGAAAGTACTAATAAAAAGTAGCGATAGCTAATAAAACATACCCGATTGGTCAAAAATAAAAAACTGATTATCATAAGAGGAAATGTAAATAGCTTTAAATCTATACATTAAGTCGTATAAGCATTCGTGCAACAGGAGCTTCTACTGTTGCACGAATGGGCAAGCTCATCCAGGGAAGTACCACGGCCTCACAGAATACCAGCGTGAAGTGGAGTAAGTGATCTAAAGTGTTCGCGCTTCTTTTGGTGAAAGAGGTAACCGTGTCCACCTTTAAAACTTCCCAAAGGTTTTCAACGCATCTAGAACCACCCGAGTTTTGCAGATGACCATGGATGGCGATAATCAATTAACAATGGTTGAAATGCCTCCTCGCCTGACAAATTTTCTCAAACAACTATAACCTTGAACAATGAAATTAAATAAAGCCTTGTGGTAAATAAGTAGTGTGCATATAAGAAAAGGCAATACTTACAACTACGTATAATGATGATTACTAATAAACTGACTAAGTACATCACTCTTGGGGGTCTATGGCACCATTCTCCGATGAAAGGTGAAATAAATCGGAATAATGTATCCGAAAATCCAATCACAGCCATAATTTTCGCGATGTCAGCAGTCTCAAACTTTAATAAATCCTTGAGAATAATCGGTAACAACAGAGAAAAATTTGTTTCCACACACGATGCTATCGATAGTCCGAACAAAATGTTGACAAATATGGGATCGCGCAACAAGGTCAGATCGAAAAAGTCGATGAATCTTTGTATTAGACTCTTCTTTTTCTTTTCTACGTCAGTATCTAAATCTTTCTGGTTTGATTTTATTTGTCTAACGCTGTCACCTTCATAAAAAATGTTAATAGAACTTCCCAGGTTAATTTCTTGAGATTCCCACCATTTGTATCGAGACTCAGAAAGGGGAGGATCTGGAGGTTTCTTGCTTATATCTGGGTGTGATATGGCATTCCTTGTTTGCATGTTTGTTGTGTTCATTAGAGACCTCATTGAGAGACTTTTAGTTGGTTGCACATCATTATTTATGGGCTGCTCCAATTTTTGCAATGAGAGAATATCTAAAATATGTTTATATAAAATATTAAAAAAGACAACAAAGTTTAAACTAAGGAATAATTTTTCAACATGTATTAGATTTTTAAGAAAAAACTTACCCATTTGTTTGAATGACGCGCTTATGCTACCATTGGTCAATGCCATACCATTTTCTTTATTTAATGGTTGCATTTCCTCTAAAACCGGCGGGTCTTTCAAGTACCACTTGGCTGGTCGCAGTAAAAAGGCAGCTGAAAGCGAATGAAGACATATTGCTCCCAAAATAAGTACTGCATACCTCCAGCCATAAGAATACATGAGCGCACTCATTACCATCGGCATTAGAATTGTCCCTAAGCCTGTGATAGACATTCCAACGCCTATTGCCCTTCCCCTTTTTTCCTTAAAGAAAGAGTTTATTGCTAATGTGAAAGCCGCCATGACTGCAGCTATTCCCATTGCTGAAATAACAAAAGAGTATTATCAGTTAACTTTTTATTGTTGACGTTATTTTTTGTTGTCATTTTATAAATATAACTATCACTTACAGTTGATTATACTGTACGACAGTATAAAGACCCAAAAATTGTTTGCAAATGCGGTCAAAATGAGTCCAGAAGAAACCATCACTGCTCCAAATACAGCAACTTTCCTGTACCCCCATCTTCGGAGCACTGGCCCCCCGAAAAAGGAAAGGAGCATTCCAAATCCGTGGTTAAGGGTGATGACTAGGGTTCCCTGGGTGGCTGTGAGCCCCGTTTCTTCGAAAGCCTCTTGAAATACTAATCCAAAACCGGCAACGAGAGGCAGAACGACGACCTGAAATAATTTTTTTTAAAAAATCTGTAATGAAGTTCTAAGTTACGAACTTATGTGGGAATACGAATGTGGGAATCGTGCTGGCGGTCCACTTGATTTAACTTCAGCGCGTGATGTTAAATCAGGCCATGTCTCCAAATGTACATATGGTCGCTGGAGCCAACACGTGTTAGGGAAACGTAGTGTGGGATGGCCTGACCACTTAAGAAAGGTGGCGGGCAGCGGATGGATGTGGGCTGCCTAGGAGCGGGATAGGTGGCGCACTTTGGGGGAGGCTTACGTTCAGTAGTGGACGGCAATAGGCCGATATTGTTGTTGTATTGTTGCGTGATGCAGCCCATGGACATTTGCAACGCTTGTAGGGGTGCAGATGCGTTGCCTTCCATCTTTTAATAAAGCGGGCCCCTTTTAATAAAGGTTGCATCAGTCACCAGATAAAATTTAGTACACGATACCTCCACTTCATGTCAGTCTTCTGTGAGGTCGTGGTACTTCCCCTGTCGAGCCTTGCAATTCGTGCAAGACCATCATTGCTGCGTGGCCTTACCACAGTTAAAACTAGTCTTCTATCAGGTCATAGTATTTAATATTAAATATTAATAATGCTCCACTATTAATAATATAATTTAGTTGCTGTCATTATTTAATTTAGTACTTTGAGCGTACTCTAGAATCAAAATACTATAATATGTTCAGTACTGAGGAACAAGGCAAAGTCAAAAACTATGTCATGTCATACAAATAATTGTTGTAATAACTTACATTGTTTAGGGCGTAAGCGAATGTTATTACCCATCCGTATCCACCATCGGGTGGAACTTTATTCGACATCGTAACTTGTATTCCTGGTGTCCCATTCAATGCATTTTTAAATTTAAAAATTTTAAATCGATATGTTAATCAAGCACTGATTCTCTTGAGCACTATAACACATTTCACATATTTAAACAGTCACTTCTTTAAATACTGGTTGCCGATAAAGCTCTGCCTGTTATCGGTCGTTGAGTTGGTGGTAGGTCCAAAGAATTATATGGTTATGGTCCTCCGATTCGACGTGAGTTCTCTGTAAAAGTATTCGATATTATAATGTGACAGGCAACTCGTACGACAGCGGGCATTCCTATGTTTCTTATCGTTCCTACTTTAATAATGTTCACTTTTATCATCATTTGTTCAAAGTTTAATTGGCTCAAAGAAATATTTACTTTATGTCTACAGAACATTAAGATTGTTGCTTTAACGTTTTCAACATATTGAACCAGTTTCATGACTTTATATATTTTTATTTCCTTAAGTATGTTTTCAGACTCGTAATATTTCCCTAATTCAGAGCAATTTAACGAAATTTAATATTTTGAACTAAGTTTAAATCAAATACAGTTATTAAAGAAGTTAAAATTAAGCAGTTAAGTTGAAAAATTAATTATATTTAATTTTAGTGAAATATTAATAAAATTTTCACTATAGTGGAATTATTATACAATTTACGTTTATTTAATTTTTTAAATTAGAAACAATAAATAGATTAATCTAGCGGTTAATAGACTGATATTTATGATTTTATATGCGTTTACACTAGAGATAACAAATTGGGTTGCTAACATTAGCAACACGCTATTTAGATATGACATGGAAAGCAAATTCATTTTATTTACAATACGTTAATAATCTTAGTAGTTCAAATGTAAGTTTATCAAAAGATAAAACAGCCGGGTAAAGGATTACTCTTATCTTTATTGATGCTTATGTAAAGTGAACCTGACGAAAATTTGTTAATAATTTGAAAAATTTCATATTGCCACATGAGTGATTATGTAGGTCACATACGCCAGATTTCTACATGATTCTTGATAAACTTACCATTTAGAATTTTTTTGAAGGTATCTTATATTTTCATACATAAAAAAAGTAAAGTAACAGCCTATACATGTTCCACTGCTCAATGGCCTCCTCTATGCAGAGGGTGTCAGGGCATAGACCACCACGCGGCTCCACTGCGGATTGGCGCCTTCACATGTCTTCGAAATATTTTTTTTGTTATTACTTCGAAAATATGCAGGTTTCCTAACGATGTTTCCTTCACCACGGAGCACGTAATAAGTCAGCATTTAAAGTTAAAAACTTCACTTCCGGCACCGGGAATCGAATTCATGTTGCTCCAGTATATTGAATAAAAGGCGAGCACCCGGACACTGAGCTGTCACGGCTTTAACTAGAGATTTTTGTAGTAATTTCTTTAAGTACTTACGTACACGTGGCAGCCACATTCAAATTGTTTCCTGCCTGTTTCCTAGCTTAAGTAGTTTATTTTTTTTTGACGTGGGAGAAATGCCTACACATACCCGCCCTCGCGGGGGCAAGAGCGGGTTATGTCGGACTCGCACCTACTAAAATCCCCACGATGTTACGCCTAGGCGCATATCGGCAGGGTCACAGGAACGCTTTCGCACACTTCCGCGACCGTGCCAGCGCTGGCAGCCTTAGCAGCCCCCTCACGGGGAGCAACTCCCATCTCCTTTAGGTAAGGCGCGCTGGAACATTCAGCGCGCCTTCCTACTCGGCCCCATTTTCACGGTCAACGAACTCCCATGAATTCGCTGACCGGGGCCATGGGAGCCAGGAGAGCCAGTGCTAATAAGCAGCAAGCCTCCCAGCCCCCAGCGGCGGACATGGTCTGTGGCTCCGCCGCTCACCACGTTTCGGCCGCGGAGGATAGGGAGACCTTACGGTGCACCGCAATACCGACACTCCTCTCCCTCCGCTGCCCCACCACCACTGCATCAGCGGTGCAGCCCTGCCGAGTCGCGGAGGATAGGGAGCACGGCCAACGCAATACCGACACTCCTCTTCCCCCGTGACTCCTGCTCGGTAGCAGAAGACAGGGAGAGTGGGTTCACCTCTACCACCCTCGACCTGTCCCCTGCACCCTTCAGCCGGCATCCAGAGTGGGCTCAATGAGCCCACTCGGAGCGGCCCTTGCGGGCCGGCCTTGCACCGCAGGCCGTGTGGGTTCCTCTTAGCTTCGCCGTGGGGGACCAAGCCACGGCTACTAAGCCCCTCCGCCACGTCAAGGCGGGAATCCGATCGGAGGGGAGCTAAAGTAGTAACTTAGCTTAACTTAGTTAAGTTAGCCAAAACTTTTCTGGGCTTACGTGACGATAATTTATAGCCTATGTTGATTATTCAAATGGTGAAAAGATTATCCTCCACATACAAACAACTGACAATAGTTTAATAATATTGATAATCTATATTAGAAAGAATCGATGGATGAAATTCGATCCCTTCATGAGAAAAAGTGTTCATTTGCGTGGGACGCTATTAACGGACTCGAACGAACTCATCTCAGCTGTAAAGTAATTATGCGTGTCTCTTAGACAATATATGTGCCCGTTGCGTTGCCTAGAGATCGGTAGTGTCTCCACGAATCTAAAATTTAGAAAGATTTAATTTCTATATTTAACAGAATGACTTGTTGTTGCGACTGTTCACGAAGGGGCAAATTATTCGAACGAAAAGTTTATTCAGTGAAGAAATATAGCCATAGACTTATACAGAAGGGGGGGGGGGGGGGAAGGGCGGGTGGGCCATGCCCACCCTAGCATCGTCTAGTGCCTACCCAAGGATTATGGGTTACTGATTCGAAATTCTAGGCTAGATACCTAAGAAACTTCATAAAAATCATTGAAATGAAATAATTGTTTAGAGGCGAGAAATCTATGTACATATTTATTTTTTATTGAATACTATTTAACAATACATTTACTTGTGATTACACAATGTACTTACTAGTAATTAGTCAATACTACTATTATAAATTAATAAAAATAATTAACAATAGCGAACTGTTACTTTTTCAATGTGACGCATAGGTTTTGATATTTTTTTTGTAGTTAAGGCCTAGGCTCACCCTGAAAAATAACTCTTGATGCACCAATGAATAAAACTAGTGTTTTCGGCATCAAGTTTTCTCAAAAGTATGTTGTCTATATTTATAATTAACATAAAGGTTTGCAGTTGTCCGGCCCTTGTCCCGGAACAACTAGTGTAAAGATTTTAATTAATTCTTCTAAGTTTTATTTCTTAGGCACTTGGCCCTTATCTGAAAACAATATTTTGATATATTTTGCGTGCGTGTAATATATAATATTACGCGCTTTAGCTTGTATTATGAAGATTTTAATTATGTCCTTTATGAATATTATTATATAACCATATATTTTTTTTATTTTTTAATATAATAAGGTTTAATAATAAATTTTTCTCAATTAAATGTTTTTACTGTATAATGTAAATCTGTTCTTGGCTGTAAGTTAAGCATACGAGATATATGTCCATATAAAATATAAAACAACTAGGGGCCGTGGATTTTATTGCTCAATCAAGTGAAATAAAATGTAAAGTTGTGAAAGATTTATTTTTTTTGTCAAGCGACTCGTTTGTTTATCCTTTTTGGCAATCGATTGAACAAAATTTTCTCAATGGATGTTTTTGCAGAGTCCGAAAAAGTTATTAGACGGGTACTATAATTACTACTAAACTTACTACTATATTACTTAATTCATACGTAATATTTAGTTGCTACCACCGAAATTTTTATTATTCACATTAGTCATGTAGTAGGGCCCCGCAAAAGTGTCGGTGTTGCTCGAATTAGTAACAGAGAAGACTTGTTGCACAAATGGGCTTGTCCGTTCGGGTAAATACCACGACCACACAGAAGACCGGCGTGAAGTGGATGAATTATACTTCTGCACTTCGTCTGTTGAGTGAGGTAGGGGCCAACTTCATTAAAAGGTGGCAATGCATTTGCAGCCCTACGAATGTGACAATGGAACCGCCATCACACTTGTCACCTTCTCATACAAAAAATCCACTAAGAAAGACCTTATCACAATGTAAAATATATACAAGCGTTTCTTTTTAACCACACGTTAACAGTTTTAAGTTACCGTGTGGTACCCGCCCCGGCTTCGCACGGGTGCAATGCTGGATGTTAGTTTTCGACATTACAGTAGAAACCTCTAAAATTATCAGTGTTTCTCTACTATATTATGCATGAATTATACATATAAGCCTTTCTCTTGAATCACTCTATTTACTAAAGAAAACCGCATCAAAATAAGTTGTGTAGTTTTAAAGATCTAAGCATATATAGGGACAAACAGACGGCGGGACGACTTTGTCTTATACTATGTAGTTATGATGATGATGCCAGGCTTATGATCTTAAGGTATTGGATTCGAATGCTGTACCACAATGGCCTTGCGGCCATGAGTTGTCGTTTATTGGTTTAGGCTTATTGGTTAATAAATATATATTTCAATAAAACACCAATGCATAAAGATTTAATAATTATTAATGAATCAAAACTTGTGCAGCCTTTTTTAATTGAGTTATTCGATGTCTTACAACAATAACATAAGTTAAATAAATTTAACAATAAATGAATTAGTTATTATATATACAGGATGGCTTTTCTAAGTGTATCCATTTTTTTACTAAATTCTAGACCTAAATAATGTTATATAAAAAATGATAAATACTTAAAATCACTAGTGAGTAATTAATTACATTCATTTGAACTTATCTCAAAAAGTGCGTGATTTATACGCAACTCATTTATTTTACGTGCGATCATTCATAACTAATACGCAGACAAGTTCGTGCACAGTAAAATTTAGGTATTTATGAATGACTACCGCATTGTCAACACTTTTTGTTTTTTAAGGAATAGAATGGCATTTTTTTTGGAAAAAAACTTTGTTTTTTATTTCAATAAACGATTATACTACTGAGTTTGAACCTCATGTGTAAATTTGGCCACTTCTCAAAAAATCTCCCTGTATATTGATATTTGACCCCTTTGGGCGGACCCCTTTATTAAAGTATTATTTCAATATATAGAAAGTTTACATAAAATAGAACAAACTAAGACAGCGGTACAACACCATGAGTTTTATATTTCAAAGAGGGCATCAAAATTCCTAAGACATTCACTATACTTCGTGTTTAATTGACCGTTTCAATTTTAAACTTTTCTTTAATGCCCTTTTGGTGAGCATTTTTAGACATTTTTAAACTTACAAAAAAAAAACCAATGTGATACTGCTGCTCTTTCACTGCCCTCCTAAATGAAAGAGAACATGTCTTAATTTTGTAAAAGTAATAAGTTTTAAGGTACTACGAATTAAGAATAAAGTGCCTATTTCCGGATTAAAGTCTCTAAGCTTCTTCCCGGTAGTGGCACAAAGAGCAAATGGCGATGAAACCACCTGTATATAACACGTATATCGTTTATGTATCGGAGTATTAAGAATACCAGCAATTAATATGCAGCGGCTTTATTATATTAGTGATGTAACTTTTGTTTTTTTTTATGTGAGCACTATGTTAAGTAATAACCGCCGCCCATGGACATTTGCAACACCAGTAAAGTTGCAGATACGTAAAGTGGGCCCTGGTTACCTCACTCACCAGACGAAACGCAGAAGTGTAACACTTTAACTTCACGCCGGTCTTCTGTGAGGTTGTAGTACTAACCCCGACGGACCTGCCCATTCGTGCCCATGCGTAACTTTAATACAATTATGACCACGAAAGATGCCCACGATTTAAAGGTAAAGGTCATAGAAAGCCTGTAATGTACTTGTATAGAGGTATTACTACCTGCACAGGAGTGTTTCTCTACTTCTATCTTCGGCCATTACATCAAATGTGTTGATTAACACTATGAGTCACAAAACAACGTAACTTACAACTTTATAAGATCTATTAAAAATAAGTGTTTGATACTTTGACACATATTAGTTTTTTTTTATGTGAAAAGTTGCCAAACGTGCAGACGGTTTAACTGATGGTAAATGAATACCGCCGCCCATGGACATCTGCTACACCCGAGGGTTACAGATTCGTTGACAATTGAAAATTGGGCTCCGGCTACCTCACTCACCAGACGAAACACGAAAGTATTTGTCATATTTTCACTTTACGCTGGTCTTCTGTGAGGTCGTGGTACTTACCCGGACGGGCCTGCCCATTCGTGCAACAGCCGAGACTGCTGCACGAATGGTTAATGAAATAGTCTCAAATAAGTGTTTACGCTTACCTGAGTACATCATTAGTAAAGTATAGTATCAGCTTATACATGCCCCACAGCTGGGCAAAGGTCTCCTCTGTAAAAAGGGTATCTGGGCATAGTCCATCACGCGGCCTCACTGCGGATTGGTGGACTTCACATATCTTCGAAATATTTTTTTTATTATTTCGAAAATATGTAGGTTTCCTCACGATGCTTTTCTTCACCGCTGAGCACGTGATAATTCGGCACTTAAAATTAACTAAAATTTTATTGGTGCCAGCACCGGGGATCGAACTCGGTTGCTCAAGTATATTGAATTAAAGAAGAGCGCGATATAATTTATAGCGTCCAACTCAATAAAATTATGTGATAATCAGCATACCGAATAGACATAATTGAAAGGGGTACTTATAGCAATCATAAAGTATTTAAGTGATTTTTATTCGACGTGTGTTTTACGGTTTTTATAGTTATACTATGTTTTCCATCTCAATTTAATGCGCATTTAGTAGATTTAAAATAAAATTTGTGATATTATTCATAATTTTAAAGTAAGGTTAGTTCAACAATTCAATGGCAAATTCAAAGCTTTAGGTCTTTTAAAGTGTATCTTCCTAACACAAAAAACATTAGTAAAAGTAACATTACGGCTTAAAACTACAAATTGAGTTGTTCAACAATTTTAGTATCTTGTGTTAGAGAGACACTATTGTCAACAGTTAACATTTACAGCAAGAACTAAACAACAATAAATGCTTAACGGGTTCTGCAAGCGCTGTCGTATGGATTTAGGTGGGTATAAACTGATTAAAGCCCTGAAGTCTTAACTATAAATGCTTTCATTAGCACTATTCTTACTATAAAAGCTGTCTAGCATAGTTCATTAAAGTTTTAGAACCACTGTTGGAGGAGATTTATTTTTCAACTCCTCTCTATAAATTTTAGTTAGAACTGAGATAACTATTATTCAGGGGCAATGATATCAGATAAACATCAATTCCGGAAATAAAGTGGCGAAGAAATGATGGTGCAGATTTGTTCCATTTTAAATGAAATAATGGCAACTGTTAACCGAGGTACATTTCGACACCGTACAGGAAATAAAAATTTCCTGTGTTCAATTAAAATTAATGTCAGGAAGGGCGGTCTCGTCGCTTTTATGTTATTGAATAGCAATCTACATTGCCCGAGAATCATGTTAATACGACAAAGAATGGCTGACAATCTTATATCTATTGAGGTCAGTTTTGTACCGTAGGATGACGATTCGTGTTCGTATTAGGATCGTGTACATCTGAAAAGCTCGAAAGCGATGCCTAGGTACGTTCATTTCAATCAATGTAGAAAATAAAATAATAGTTATGTAATTAAAATAATTTAATTAAAAACAATATTTAATAGTCGCCGTATATTTCTGATGAACGCATCTCTAATTTCTTCTATAACATATCTTAGGAAATGTTAAAACTTAATTTATGATATACATATACAAAGGCAACAACAAAGTCATACTTACACTTTGTTTTTGATGCTAAATGGTAACGATATCATTCCCGTACAGTCGATATGTGCGTCTCCGTTTTTTCTCTAGATATAAAATAATAAGTAACAATTCGCAGTATATAACGTAATTCTTAATCAATAATTTGTTTCTTACTCTCACATATATTACATTGCTAAAGTTATCAAAAACAAAATAACAAAACAAAATATATTTCACGATGTAACGTTAAACACGATAGATACATTAAACTTCTGTAGATAATGAGACGACGCGGTAACACACCAGCTGACCTCTGTGCCACTGGATGTCGACACTGGCTAAACGACATCGTTTTCAATTAGACTAATTCGATCAGATATTGTTGTAGACACTTAAAAGCCGATTAAAACGTTGCTACCGCTTCTGAAAACGAATTATTATTGGGTGCTCTAAACAGATTCATTTAGAATTACGCCTTAGTTAACTCTTCCTTTGTCTCATTTTGTCGTTTCGATGAGATATATTTTTCTAAGCCCCATGATATTGCTGTCAGCCAAGTGAAAATGTTTAAACAATGTAGAGTCACTGCTGTTGTAGTGTTGTCCTTGATCCATCCTGTAAGAAATTAAAAATTATATACATTTATGATCGTATTAAAAAATCCATGCAACTTCAAAGATATTTTTAAGTTATGGATTTTTCATATTAATGCACTTGTGATATTTTGTGTGTGGACTTACGTACACTTGATCAATATATATTAATATCTAAAAAGTATAAAATTAACATAACATCTACTAAGTGAAATTTATATGGGTTCATTTTTAATCTAGATATACGGTATTACAAGTCATATTGATCATATCACATTCACAAAAATTTACAAGGCTATCGAAAAGCAATTTATGAATTAAACAATAAGTTTTCAGCGACGATACTATATAATCCTATACCAGATTAGCTTTATATAAATTATTGAAAAGTCTTAGGGAACTAATAGCTTATAGTGATTATCAAGTGTCCAATAAAATATTTAATTTCTCTAAGTTTACTTCAGAATTTACATTCGAAAATTTTTATCGTATACATCTACTCGTAATTCATGTAATTGTTATTTAAACATATGAAAATCTTCAGAACTTCTTACCTACAACAGGTCCCAATGCAAGGTAGACTATTCCAGCAGTAATCAGTTGTATACCCGTAGCGCCGGGTAGTTTGTGCAATGGCACATGAGTCGGAATAACTAAAGCCATAAACACTGTTCGAAGTCCTTTACCAAAACCTATTATAACTGCTACTGATAGCACAACTGAATAACTTTGACAATATGCTAAAACTGGAACAAATACAATACATATGAAGCAGGTAAATTTAGAGGGAATAAAACAATAGATGAAGTTTAATCAGTTCTTCTTTTTTTTCTTTTAATCAAATCAAAAAATGTATTTACCTACTCTTCCCATTGCCATAGACATAACTCCAAACAAAAAAAAAGAGTTATTGTCCCAGCCAATTTTTCCAGCGACAAATGGAATACAAAATCTCACACATAGATCGACGCCAGCCAACAGGGACATGAAAAATGCCACTTGAGGCTTCGTCATCCCGTAATCTCCAAGGATGAACGGAGTTAGAATCGAAAAGTTTAATTCATTAAAATTGGCCAGTGTTATACCTAACATTAAATTTATAAAAGTGAAATCTTGTAAAAGATCCAAATCAAAGAACAGCGCTACTTTCTGCCAAAAAGTTAATTCCTCTGCTTCTTCTTCCTGCTCTTCTTTCTTTTCATCGAATACATCGTCGTCCACTGGACTACTTATCAATAATTTAAATCTATCGCTATGAGTTTTATCTTCACTTTCTTTTAGGTACTGTTCCAATTTTAGTGATGCTTGTTTAAGGACTTCACTTTCGTAGTTAAAGTTATTTGACTTCTTACGGTGTCTAGTGCGGTAGGACTGATTGCTGTGATTATCTTTAAGGTATTTTTTTTCTTCAGTATCATCTTGGTTCTTAAAAGATATATTGCTGTGATTGTCTTTATTGTACTTTTCTCCATACTGCCCATCCATTTTAAAAGATTTAATGCTCTTACTGCCTACAAAATGCTTTTCGGCTTTGTCAGCGATATACTTAGCTTTTTCCGGATCTATATTTTGCACTACGGCTTTCTCTTCCGCTTTCAAATCTTGAGGAGCCTTAAGGGTTGGGCAGTCTTCAATTTCAGATTCTGGAATCTGATTGTCTAAATTAATAGAAGTCTTACGTTTTGGTTTAAAAACTTCACGCTCTTGCGCTAGTGCGCCTAAATTAGCCGACGAGTTTTTTTTAGATTCGTTAAGGTATAAAGTTGATGATTTGCGAGATCGATTTTCGAGCAAATTAGACATGGATGGTTTTTTAGAATTCAGGCGTGAATTTCTATTAGATCCCTCCCTGGAGGAAATACGACTTTTTGATTGTCTCGACTGGCTGAAGTAACCGTCATTAGCTCGTAGCATCATGGGTACACCGGGATCTGTGATTTCATAGCCTGGCGTCACTGGATCATCTTCGTTGTATAAATACTGGCTGGAAAAGACACTTAAATTCTTGATCTTTGAAACTTGGCTAAAGTAGCCACTCTCTTCAGCTTTCTTGTCGTTATTGACGTTGTGGTTTTCCGTCAACAATTTCTCCTCGTCTTGGCCTTTTACATTCGGCTCTTTTGAATGCCACTCAACTGGTTGCAATAAAAGTGCGCAGGCTATCGCGTGCAAGGAGAGCCCACTTATTATCAGAATTGCGCCGGTTTCTCCAAAAACGGCGAATAATCCAGTTATGATATGCGGCCATAACATAGGTCCCATTCCTGTTGTAGTCCATGACAGACCTGTGGCCAGTCGCCTTCTCTTCTTCCAATAGGTATTTAACGCAAGAGCGTTAGCAGAACTACTAATTCCATACCCAGCACCTGAACAAATTAAATTTAATAATGCTTCAAAAGCCCTCAATCAAATTCATTAATACTATAAATCAATGCTCACCATACAGTATTGAGAACGATATCAAATAAGTTATGAAATTATAAGAGTATGTTGTTAGAATCAACGAAATAAAGACAACTATGGCACCAGTTAGGGAAACCTGACGATAGCTAAATGTTTTGAACACTGGTCCATTCGCTAATCCTGAAAGTAAGAAGATTTGTTTAAAACACGTTATTAAATTCATCAGCCCTACAAATCATATAGCCCCATATTTGCATGAAACAAAGTGACAAAGCTTGTGTTTATCTTGCCTTTATCTTTACAGAGGCAAAGGTTAATAAACTCACGATAAAGGTAATAGAAAGGTTAAAACTTCATTATTATTGAACTCATTTAAGTTATCCGGCGCCCTATATACAGATACATACACCGTTTTGCCGTTTAGATGGCGTTAAAAATACCATTTGCTCAATAAAATGTATAATCAGACAAAATATGTATCAAAAGCTTAAAGGTATTTCTAGTCTCAATAGAACTGTATATTTTACCGTGAAATATTACTTATGACTAAACAGTATCCATATTGCTTTAAAAAAGTTTTAATATTTGTCATCTTTGACTAGGAATTTTTCTTAAATCATCAAAATCATCATTTCATGATTTCAATCATCATTTGTTTCAGCTTTCAGTTACCAGCTGATCATAGGCCTCCTTAATTTATCTTTAAAGTAACAATGTATAATTCTTCGGCTTGACTAGTGTTGTTTGATACTTTATCACTACGGAGTATAAAACAAAGTCATCCCGCTGTCTATGTATGCTTAGATCTTTAAAACTACGCAACGGATCTTTATGCTGTTTTTTTAATAGATAGAGTGATTCAAGAGGAAGTTTTATATGTATAATACATTGCACCCGTGCGAAGCCGGGGCGGGTCACTTGTTAGTACATAATAAAATAATACTTCGAATCGGCCGGTATGGTATCAGAGAGTTACCATGCGAGGCGCGTCACGCACCGACGCAAGAGGTCAGCGCAGAGTTCATGTTGATTATGGTCGTAGTCTCCGAACTGCTGATGCCGAGGCGTGCGAACTTATCGCGGAAGAGAAGACCGAATTGCTGGAGCATCGGTAGCGCTGACAACTGTATTATAATTATAAAGTTTTGATTTCACGTTTTTAAACGAATGAGCAGGTAACACAGGCTGACAGAAAACCAGTGTGCTGTAGAATTATGCTTTTGGTTTGGTTTGGTGAGTGAAGTAACTGGGGTCAACTGTTTTAAAAGATTGACTACGCATCGCCGACCTTTCTTATGTTGGGCGGCGGTAATCATTTAACACCAGGTGAACCGCCTGTTAGGTTTCCATATATTTGCTTTAAAAAACCTGTAGTACTGAAAAACCTAAAAACATGTATAATTTTTAAGTTATTAATTGTCGTTTGAATCTTATTATTATTGCGTTGTAGTTAATGAAGCTGTAATAACGGATTTTGCTTCTTTGTTTAATGTCCTCCCCTCTTTTGAATACTAATTGCTGACTATCATGATGATCCCGATTTGCCAATTTCTAGACGAAAGTTTCAGTATGAAAAGTTTTTATCACAAAAAGAATTAATATTTTTTTACTGAACGTAAATATGTTATGTACAATTTGAATTCAGTTGTCTTAGCTAATTTCTAATAATTTTTGTTATTTCAAATTGCTGTGCGCCTTAATAATATCTTAGAGCAATTATGTACAGCGGATTAATATTTCTAGTGGACGTCCTTTCAATGTAATTCTTCATAAATTCACATTTAGTCATACGTAAAAATATATTATATGTTTTTTCAGATTTTATGCTTCTAATTTGTTTTGTCTTTTAGAAACAAATTAGAATTAAATGAGATTTTTTTACAATTTCGTTACAAATTGTACTCTATTGAAATAAGAAACCGAGTTGTAATATATTGTTACATAATTCACTTTTCAATGCTAATTTTATTTAAGAAAAATAATCTTTGTTCAATTCAGGTCATTATTATTATATAATTGATGATGTATAATTTTAATAAAAATAAGTCAAATTAATTGTCAACTAAGTTTATAAACCGATTACAATATAAACATTTTTAAATCGAATTTTTTTCTTCGCTCTCGAACTTTTGCAAAATATATCTTTAAGTTTTGAAAAATACGCTTACATGTTATTTTATAATCCGCTAGTATTAGATTTGTTATTCAAATGCAAACTACGGTTTGAAAATAGTGAATAAAACTACATTACATTTCAGCAATTATTTATAACACTGACACGAAATTTAAAAATGGAGAGAATCTTAATGTTGTTTGTAGAAATATTAAAGAAAATGAAAAAGTAAATTCGACTTAAAAACATTAAATGCAAAACATCCTGTGGCGACACTTACATTTGAGAGGCCAGCGGCGAAAACGATCATCCAGCCCCAACCACCGTCCGGAGGGATGAAGTCACCATCCCTCTTGACCTTCGACTTCATCTCCATCTTGGATTTCATCGTCTAAAACTAGAAAGACACCGTTCAAATTCGCCGTCTGAAGCACCCGCGTCACGACGATCCCAAAGTACAGCTAATTTAGACCAGCACCAATTATTAAATGGCACCGCAATCTACGTAAACGTAACGCTCTGAACCGATAAGTTGCATTACTGTGCGCAATCTCGTTGAACCGAATTCTAGATTTATATACCTAATGCTGGCAATGTTCGATTACGAACAAAAAGGAATGAAGAATTCTTTGTGTACATAGCATCGTAGATAATACGCTGCGTTCATAAGGTATACTCTACTTGTAAATGTATGTATATTAGTACACGCAGTAAACGTGCCATAACGTATCTTATTGCTTTGTGTTATACTCTGAAGTGTCTCTGTAGAGAATAAAATAAATACACATCAGCTGTTTATTTTCAACGTTTAAATGTTACTATTCTTACATACTATTTCCACAGTCTAATAGTAATAATATTTTATTTACGAAATATACGTACACAATTGGGTGTTAATTAACCATTTTTTATATATTTATATTATTTATTGATTTAAAAAGGCTTCCCAACTTAATACATAAGTAAAACAATTATAGTTATTCTAGTGTGATGCACTTAAAAATCAGGTTTAATATTGTATATATAAGTATATGCATTTTAATTAAACGTAAACAAACAAATAAAATCGAAGAAAACTTCATATAAGAAGAACAGTAATCTACAAAACTATCAGTAAAGTCTTGTAGATTACTGTTACATATGTGTTATAAAATATCAGGTAGTAATAAAATGTGACAAATAGAACAAAAAATCAAAAACTCATAACAGTCTAAACTATTTGTAAGATATTTTTATTTATTTACGTTTAGATTTACAATCAGTAAATAGTGTTGGTTTATACCTGCGGGCCCTATCAAAGATAATCCTGTAACATTTCGATATGTCGATTAAAACGAACCCTTTGTTTCAATCGACGTGATGGTCAGTAAACACTTATATAACGTAGTACTTATAAATTTGTGACACTCGATTATTTCTATAGACCAGTTATCACATTTATAATAACTGATAAATAAAAGGTTATGTAGACCGTTTAAAATTGTCGGGTCACTGATAATACAAAACACGGAACATCTAATGATCAAAGAATATCTCATTAAGCGTAATGAAGCATTAAAAAAGATACTATTCCTTTTTACAGATTAGGTTTTTTAAAGAAAAATCATCATTTCCTTTTAAAAGTACTAATTTATTAGTGTGGAATGATCATAAATACTTTTAAAGTACCTCTATTGCTGCGCTACTTTTACTCAGAATATTTTTTCACAGCATCATTTACGCCCGGTTTCTGAAACACTGATCAACGTAGATGTCAACTAATCAGCTGTCAAATGAATTTCAAATTTCAGTTTAGTTGCCAAAAGTATGTTCAAACTCTTTGAATTGATCATTCTGATCATAAAGAAGATCATTCTGGTCAATTCAGAGAGTTTAACCATCTTTTTGGTGCATAATTGTAATTTGAAATCCATTTGACAGCTGATTAGTTGACATCTACGATGATCAGTGTTTCAAAAACCGGGCGTTAATCTATGAAACATTAAATCATTATGAATCATAGCTATTATTTAAAGTTACCTATTACACGATTATTATATGAGTTGTACTTATATTATAAGCAGTGTAATAATAAACATATCTTTATATCCCTTCATAAGTCAATCATTTTATTATAATTGAGGAGCAAAAACGGATATATCACAGATTATATTTTTTGGAAAAATAAAAAATTATGCATATGTCTATTGATTTCCAATTTAGAGATGTTTACTTGTTTATAGGTTTTGATAACATTGTTTTGATATTAATCCACAGATTTATGTGTGCAGTATGTGATAAGAAATAAAAAAAACGGATTTATCAGACTGACGGATATGTCCTTGTTTAACATCACAATTTTCTAGATGTATTCGTTTTAAATCTCGCTTTCCTTCTAGTTTTTTATAAAATGTTTCTAGATGTTTAACATTCTTTAAACTCCAATTTAGACCCAGTAATAAAACTTCTATTCACCCGCGTCTTAAAAAGCGTCTCTTTTCGGTTTTCAACTAATTAAATGCATGGCCCATGAAAATTTCTAAGGATTTATCGGTTTATGTTCAGATTAGTTAGTTCCGAGAAAGTTTTTACAGATGATAATGATTTAGTTGTTTATAAATAGATTTGATACATATATTTCGATTTCTGCATTAAAAATAAAGTACGTAAATGACATAAACGTACTTCTCTTAAACAAAGGAGCTGGACTATGCGTTTCCAAGAAGCATCAATTGACACCCGCTATCTAATCTCAAACAAACATTAGTTTATATGACATACATGCGAAACACATTTGTAATTAATGGTGCAAATTTTACTGTTGTAATTGTTTTGGAAACCAGCAACTAGGGTAGCAACTAGGGTAGGGTGGGATATAAACATAATAGAATGTACGGATAATGTTATTAATTTACCACAACCATACATATTATCACTTTTAGATAACTGGAAGTATTAAAATACCTGATTATTTGTCGGCGCTCAATTACCCATTTTTAAAGAAGTGATCAAAAACTTACATTTTTACTAGGATCTTATAAAAAAATCCGAGTGCGTCAACTGCTTTAAAGAAAATGAAACTTTAGGAAAATAGATTTTCAGGGCGTTATTTCACTTATGGGAACAATAAACAACTAAAACACAATATCAAATAGGTGCTTGAAGATATCGTAATTAATAAATAAAAAACCATTCGTTATCGCCAGTCACACATAGTTTTATTGATAAATTACCCAGTATTTATTAGTACAATATACATTTAATAGCAATGGATTTACTTACGATATGATATTTTTAGGGGTCATATGGTATTTTAGGTTTTTTACTTGAACATCATGGAATTATTTTACATTATGAACATGATAGAGCGACTAGCTTCTGCTGTTGTATGATTTTGGTAATCCGCTCGTTGGCCATCCATTTTCTTTTAAGCATTTTACACAAAAACAAAACCAAATTTAAATTTATCACTTTCTATTTGGTTTTGACGAGTTCTCTGATGTATCTCGGATGATTTGTTCAAGATCAAAAATCGTCCGTTACGACTTACAAAAGACTAGCGAGCCACCTTAACGGTGCTCTAAGTTATTACAAAAGGCTCGCCCTGTTACTGTAGCCCGCTCGATACTCCCGTACTAATGCCCGGTTTCTATATTCAACGAACGGCCGTTAGTGACTTAGCTTCGTAACTTTTATAACGACGTATATTAAAGGAACGCTAGTAACTGACTTTCCGTAGGTACCTAATGCAACCGCTCCTAAGGAAAACGTTTTGTTAATATAGGAACCGGGCGTACACGCCTTTTATCTACGAGTCGTTATAAAAGTTACGAACATATGTAACTAACAGCCATTCGTTGAATATAGGAACCGGGCATAAGTCATATAGAGGCATCTGCGTACAGAGTAGCGCTCATTCACAGTCACAGCCGCAGTGTACTAATTTCAGACTACCTATCGGGAAACAAAACCACCCTGAAAACCTATTTAGAAACATTGATAAGCCTCGGCCCTTACAAGCCCCGCATTGAGCGGCAGACACGTATCTGCAACCCTTCAGGTGTTGTGGATCTCTATGTGCGGCGTTGATCACTCATCTGGCATACCAACTGCTTTTTTGCCGACTTTTAATATAAAATTAATTTTTAATTTTAGAATGAGTTAAATCTAGAAATGACTTCAATGTGTACTTCTGAGACGACACAAGGGCCTCCTAAGTCCTAATGCACGCAGACCACTAACAACCTAACATCGCGTATTCTACGTCATTCTACGAAAGATGATTCATTTTGGTCCTCATGCAAATGTAAACAAAAAAAAGAAGGGGCGCGGAATCAACATCGTCTCGTAATTAAGTCGCTGCGGCAACTTTAATCTTAAGAAAGTAAACTTTTTAACGCTCCCGTCAATGTTTTACATTTAGTAAAAGTAGTTCGCACAGTCATACGGAACGGACGTCTAAGGCTGAGGGCACATGCCACCCGAATTACACGCCACTCGCAACCTCGGTTGCAATTTAAATCTTGTGCAAATAGTGCAGTAGTTTAGTGTTGGTGTAGTGTTGTGCTCGTAGGCAGGTTCCTGTTTTGTAAGTAGAATCCTACACACACTTCTCGCCTCAGAGGCGGCATCGTTTCATTTATTAACTGTGTGCTTGTTGCAATAGGCGACAGCTAGGTACCCACCCTAGCGCACCTAAAGCGCACGCAAATTAGTTGTTATTTTTAGGCACACTCCTCCCTGCCGCAAGGTGGGGAGGAGTTTATTATTTAGATCACACACGCCGGCGGGGCCACAAGCCCCAAAGGCACTTACGCCGCGATGGGCTCCCTTTTCGAGGAGTTCGTACGCAAAGAATGCCCCGCTATGTGGGAAAGTTTTATTGCCTGTTCAGCCGAGCATAGGCAAGTAGCTGAACTCGAGTCGCAACCATTGCCCGCGCCCTCTGCGCCCGTTACTTCGTCGCCATCCGCGACCTTAGAAGCCCCCGTCGCGTCGGCATCCGCTATCGCCAACTCGCCCGTAGCGTCTTCTGCGCAACCAAATCCGACCTCTTTTCGTTCCGTCGTACCCGACTCACAATCGGACGGCGGATCGGACATGGAGGTCGAAACGACCCCCGCTGAAAACGCGAACGCCGACGGCTTCACCGTCGTTAAATCGCGTAAAAAGGGCAAAAAACGCCCTGCAACAGACAGTGACCCCGAATACGAGGCCACCCCATCGAACCTTCCCACCGCGACGCCTGCCAAGAAGGCAGCCGCAGCTGCCTCATTCGCCTCCGAGCGAAAAATTAAGCCACCGCCGCCAATAATCATACAGGAAAAGGCAAAGTGGCACCAGGTATGTTCGTGGTTCGAACGCCACAACATCCGTGACCCCCGTTCTAAGAATACG